ATTTCGTACGTACTCCGAACTAAACTTACGCGGTGCGAGTCCGAATTCAATCCCACAGAGGCAAGTCAAACCTTTAGGCTACCACGGTTTTTTATACAATGTAGCAATAAGTGATGAGTCATAATTTGTGTCTGTGCATACATTGCAACTGCTTTGCCGTCTGCAGGGAGGGCAGGACCTTACGACTACTTGGCGCGGGAGCCCTGACGCAAACTAAGGCGGCCGGGCATTGTCGTGGTCAATCTTCACTGATCTCACGGCGCCGACTCAACTGGCGAGAGGTAAACCCGGGGGGGTTTTAGTAGGGTAGGCCCTCTAGTCTAGGGGGAGAGTCCCCACATAGCCCCTGAGTCTCCCTGGGCTGAGGGATATCTATAAAGATTTCCCCCCCACAAAAAAGGACCTTACGACTACGATATTGAAGTGTAAGTGTATAAAAAAAAATCGATAATAAGATGCAAAAATATCACATAGACATCTTTTTCCGCCTGCTCAATTTTTGTTTCCGTTATTTCACTATTTACAACGCTAACACTGGATAAATTACAACAGTCAATGTTCTTGGCCTCATATTTCAACGGAAATATACGCCTAATTAAAATAACTTACTTAATGCTAGATTATTAAGTAAGTTATTTAACACTTTATTATTGGTCGAGTTTCACAAATTAAGGGTATTCAGGAACCTAGTGTTAGGGTGAAGAGAACAATAAGACGTCATAAACAGAAAATTACGTATTTGGATCATTGTCAACAATGAACGAATGACTCATTGTCATTGCCCGTACGAAGATTATGTGTGTATGAAGAAATTATACCGCATAACGAATTGTCTACAGACGTTAGTCACTTTAGAATCGTCTTTAGAAGAAGAAACAGTAAGACATTTATCTAAATTTGGTGACCGAATCTTAGCGTTGTAAAGAGATGATTCCTTCTTATTCTATATCCTATAATAGAGGAAACAATGTGGGAGGGCGACATCTAAGTGGACGCCATGAAGACGGACGACTACAAGATTACAAAAATGAAATTTACAAGATCACAAGTAGACGGATTCCCTTTGGCAAATAGGATTTATAGACAGTTAGAACTTAGATAGAGGTGCACAAAAGGAGTACTTTTATTTATTGTACTCCACACACGACGTATCATTCCTAGTCTGTACGTATCGGATATCTTACGATTGGCAAATCCTTTGATACAATGAGAAGAACTACGATAGGTACAAAATTTTCATGTCTCCATTTGAATAATTGGTTTTAGTAATTAACAAAAAAGAATCACAGAACGGAGAAAAAGACTCTTGTCTGCTATTCTATATGGAATTTTGCAATTACTATATTTTTAAATTTGTAAATATCGTCCCATAGAGGAAACGTAGATGCAATTTACAATTTTCAAACATTATATATTGACGTACCGCCTTTCAAGCAAGAGGCCGAGGAGGTTCGAATCCGGTCTCGCACTGAACAGATTCTACTAGGATATTAAATATCGAATAACTGTGTGTAGAGATGGGAAAACTGCTTATTTTTTAAATGTTTAAACGTTATGCTTTTTTAAAAAAAAGCGTGCTTTTTTTAAACGCTTTTTCACCTTAACGCTTTTTAGTTTGAAGTTAACAAAATCGTCTAAAAAACATTTAAGCGCATAGACTTTTATGTTAAAAATAGCTTGCAACGTTGTGTTGATAGCGAAACGCATGAGTAGACCCTAAAGGTTATAAGTAAGTTTTTTGTAAATAAACGAGTGATATTTTTATTTATTACATAACATAATTATATTAACATACTGTTCATGTTTCAAAGCGTTCAAAAACATAAGTTGTTTAACTTTTGTAGTTGTTTACCGTTGAAATGGAAAAAAAACTGTTTATTTTTTAGCGTTAAAACGTAAGTTTAAAAAGCGTGCTTGTAAAAGCGCTTTTTCACATAAACGCTTTTTAGTTTGACGCTTAAAAAGTCGTTTACAAAAACGTTTAAGTGCACAGACTTTATGTTTAAAAAAGCTTGCAACGTTATGTTGAATTCATTTGTTCAGGAAATATAGATGACGTTACTTGAAACTTAGGCACGTTGTAAAAAATGAAATTGTTGAGTACCTATAGAACTGACCAGTGACCAACGCTTACGCTTCAAATGAAAAGCATGCTTATGCGCTTATTTTAAAAAGCAGACTTTGTAAGTGCTTTTCTTTTAAACGAGGACCTCTAACTGTGTGAGTTAACTTGGTATTTATGTTATGTATATTGATTTTATTTCGTTATTGTATGTGATACCATTGTTCGAACAATATTGCCTAACATTAATAATAATAATAATAATAACGCACACACTCAACATAGCCCCGCACTAGGGAAACCCTGTGTCGCGGGTGCCATGGACACACACATAGACAACCACAAATTACACCCAAACTCACGAGAGAAATAAATGTAGGCCATACAAATATTTCTCTCGGTCCGGGAATCGAACCCGGGGACCTCTGCGTGGCAGTCCGGTATGGTAACCGTTCGGCCACGGAGGCAGTTACACTGACACTGTTATAATAAAATTTGCGTGGCAGTAGCTATGGTCAATCGGCGCAGCGGGACTGAATGAACGGGCACGCGTGGTCGAGTGCCCGACACTTTTGTCAGCTATTCTTTAGCCTCCAAAGCAACCTAGATATGTTTCTCAATTCACCCGTAGACAGGAGTTTCTAGGAATTTATGTGCAAAATTTCATTAGAAATTTACCATAAGCCTTTCGGCGTAGGAACACATCGTGATGAAACTTGCACGACTGTGGCCTAAACCCTCGCTTGAGAGAAGAATCGTGCTCAGCAGTGGGACGTATTAAATGGGTTCCTGATGACATTTACATAAATGCACTTATGTAAAACTTACAGCGCCTCAGGAAACTTTGTCATATGCTGAGTCAGCGCCGTTTCACTGCTATGACAATCATGTTTTCTTTTTCTTTTATGCTTAATCTGTATTTGTGTTATATCAGTGAATAAAGTGTTTATCTATCTATCTATCTATCTATCTACATTCCCATTGAGATAAACAATAAAGAGGAATGTAATTTGAACAAAATATTTTATTAGCCTTAGAGTTTACTACGGCAATGACAGCAAGGAAACTGCAATAACTGCATTCAAATTGAAATGCAGTCCGTCTCTATACACCTCATTATTAATTTGATTTGAGCAATAAATATGAAATTAATTAATTCTATTAAGCCGCCAAATTTGTAAGTCACGTCGATTAGTGCAGGAAGGAATGTGTAATAACAATAACACGCTAAATTCAAACGTAACCTTGTGTAATACACAAGCATATTCCATCTCAATCATTTAAAATTCAACTGGAACATCACTTGACTCGGCTTTGACCTGCGCTTTCGTATATAATGATGCTTATAGCTGGTTTATTATGCATAACACGAATGAAACGGGCAATCAGACGATTTGGTACAGCAGCATGATAGCTATCGTGTTTTTCATGTATGGAATACCTACTAAGTTCAAAAAATGTATATCCAAAACAAAGACTGGACAATCGTCTTCACAGTTACAAATGGACTTGAAGGAGAACAGGATTATTTTTTTAAATATTAAGAACCTCTCAGGACTAGTGTTTTATGGCTTTTAATAAATCGTCACATTTGATTGCGTATAAAAATATATAGACTTGAATAGATCACTATAAACGGTAATAACTCTGTGCAAGGTGGGAGTCGCGGAGGACGCTAGTACGTTTGAACTTATTCTACCAAATACAGATCTAAAGTGTCAGATAGTAAAACCAACAATTTAAAAGTTTAGTTTTGGTAAAATTATCATGTTTTGTAAAAAGTGATGGTACAACATTTGTTGTTATGATGTTAGTAATATAGTCCTGAGAGGTTGTTAGTATATAAATAACCCTGTATAAGCTTCCATCGGAACATTTTCGTTAGATTTAAATTGATGGCAATGATTGATCAACTATGATGTTTTAAAATAGAAATTGTAAATAATAAATGTGGACAAGTGTATATTTACACGGAATAAGTTCTAAACTTTCTCATTTTTTCTCAAGTATGGTCAATTTTTTCAAATGTAACTTCTGCTCTCCTTATCGTAACTAACGTAATCAACATTTTAGGGAAGTTGAGTTATTAACATATCTGGCATCAGCCATTTCAGATTTACAACCCCCCCCCCCCCTAATCGGCTTTTTAATATCTTCTTTAGTTTCTGTTTTAGAAAGTTTACACAAGGCGAATTTTACCAGCGATGAAAAAACGCGTTCGAGAAAAGCGCGATTGCACTTACGATTTATGGCCGATCGCTCGATCGATACAAACGCGCGATTGCACAAATCCCAAGTGTAGCGCGTGTGTAACCGCACTTATTGTTAAGCAAAATCAACGCAATTGATAATTTTTTAGGGGACAATGAAACTTTTGATGTCATTAGCGGGGGCTTTACACTGACACGTGATAAAGCAATGGTACGCGATTGAGCGCTCGTGTAAACGTTGGAAGGAAAACTTAAAGTTCGTGCAATTGCGTTTAGCGGTTTGCGCTCCAACACGCGCCAGTTTCACGCGGTGTATCCCGCGCTATTTGCCTTTTTACGGACGCTCTTTCCGTTGTAACAAAAACGAACACATCGCGCGCGAAAGAACGTCAGCTTAAAATCAGGTCGCGCGATTGCGCGTGCAGGCATTCCCGTGCGCTATCTTATACGCTCCTGATCACGCGCGATAGAGTGACTGTGTAAACGGAGCTATTATCCCGAAAGTGCAAATGCGTTAGTTATAACAAGGATGGCAGATTTGCTTACCCATAATATAAATATTTTTAATAAGAATTTGATGCATTATTGACAAACACATATTTGTACACGTACAGTGAGTCATATTAACCGATTACAATATAACAAATAACAAAAAGCGACATGAACAAAGCTGAATGTACCAATGCAATGGACATGTAAAAACCATAAAGATTGTAAAACAAAAATACCGGTGTCTGTTGTAGTCACGGCGCGGAAACCTTGCCAAGGTCCTAGCAAACAAAATTAGTTCTTAATGCTAGGAAATAAGTGTTAATTGCACCCCGACATACAGAGGCATACATTTGGGACAGGTATTGCAAAAGAATATTGTGCTTAATTGTAATACATTACTACCAACGTATCATTATTAGAAAGTTTGATGACGTAACATTATTAACCTCCTAAAAGCTCAGTAAATTAAAATGGGAAATGCGTTAAAGGTTAAAACGCCAAATAAAATGTACTGAATACAATTTACATACTTCAGGGCCAAGCAAGTACAGAATACTAAAAAACGACTTTAAAACTTCGTGGAATTCATCTATTTGCCAAAGTTGATTGAAATCGGTTACCGGAAAGTGCGGATTTATACCGCTCTTAAAGGTGGAATATTTTCTACGAATTTAAATGGGACCTATACTGAGGTACCCTCTTTCCAACAAGAAAGGAATCGTCAAAATCGGTTCATAGAGTTATCGCGTATCATACATGTAAAAAAATACATTCGAATTGAGAATCTCCGCCATTTTTTTTGGTTAAATATATTTTCTAGATGTCCTATGGTCAAATAGAATATATTATAACGCTACAAAGATCATGACCCACCAAAGTGTAAAAACTATACCCATGGCGTACAGAAATGATATCGTCGTAGATATCGTCGGGGATGTTTATATTATAGTTTTTGATTATGAGTTTCCATTTCGGTAATTTACTGGTCAAATCAAATCCGCGTAATGTCGTGGCAACCCAATTAGCGTGATTTATGGGAATCTATTGTTATCAGTCCGTAGACAACATAAATTAATGCTTACTCTGCAAAAATGGAACTTGTAGCCATCGGAATAACAAAATAATAACGTTAAATCCCTTTCCAGTGAAATGTCGTTTAGTGCAGACGCACCACTGACTTACAAATAAATAGACGACGGGTCTAATACAAAAACCACGAAAAAAATGTCCCAAGTCAACCTATTTAAACGTAGTGACATGTAAAGGAATATGAATAAGCTAAAACGTTGAATTTAAATTGTAATGTCATCGCAGTACTGTCTAATTTTGCTTGCTTCGCTGTCAGTCGAACAAACGAAGACTAAAGCGTGAATGACGCTCTGCATACGATTTTAACGCCCTATAAGTTCGGACACTTTTTAGCGCGGACCCGACGTCCATATAATTGTAAGTCAATGCCTGTCACCAATACTACATACGCGGATTTGCACTAACCCCGACAATATGGCTAGAAATATGTGTAACGCACACAAACGCACACACTCATAAAAAATATGTATTTTTATATAAAAAATGTGTGTTAGTGCGAAATATTAGTGTGTTTTGTATTTATCATCAAAAAGAGAAGAGAACGATTTCCGTCTTATTCCTACTACGACTGACGGGGCACAGGGAACGCGCATGAGTATGATGATATAATATCATCATATATCATATGTGATATTTATTTTGACAAAAACTGTGACAATAACCTAATTAGGGTTTTCATGCAATTAATAATAAGTTATCAAATCTTTATTATAGATGTCAAACCAGTAGGTTTTCAGTATTTTCTTTTTAAACTTAAAATAAAAAATGCTTAACGATTGCATATTTTTAAACTAATGTCGTTTTTGTCCGCAAACATCCATTAATTGGGTCACGATCATTGGATGCGACACTTTCATTATTTTTTGTGGTTACTGTAAAAATATTGTTTTGGGTCTGAATCACTTAACATATTAAGTAAATTGTGATGTACACAAGGCCTTAGGAGATTAATGTATTCGTCTAATCGACATTTAATTGCAGTTTCAATGCAGTTAGATGATAGTACATTCGCCGTTACTCTAACAAGGGAATCAATTCAATCAATTCATAATTTAAATCGATTACATTTTACAGCCGGCGTGGTTTATTCGTACTGCACAAAAATTGCATTTTTATTCATATTATGAATACGTTAGGTAGTTGTATTACTTAATAAAATACTATTTACAATTCTGTACACTAAAAATAACACGGTGCTACTGCATGTACATGCGGTTCAACTACAAAACTTTATGTCGCAGTTATTGTTAAATTTCTAAATAAACATACCTGTAGCGTCAACAGGACCTCTGTGTGGTACGATGGAATGCACGTATCTCGCGACAAAATGTCCAAATACAGCTTTCAAATCCGGGTTGTGCATCATTTCGACAAACTCGTCAAAATCCAAGTAGCCAGAGTTGTCCCTGTCGGCTAATGCCATTATTTTACTGACTACATTGTCAGGGAGATCGTGATCGTATTCTCTGGAATCTATAATTTGTTTGAGTTCGACATATGATATTTTTCCATCGTTGTCCCGATCGTACTGGAAAGAGAGAATAAATAGTTGTATTAAGTCAGAATTCTCCTCAACCTACAGTCTCTTACAACATTAGTGGACATAATAACCTTTTGGTCTTCTTTGTAGGCCGGTAGTTCCCATAGTGGTCTACATCGACCCCTAGGGGACCACGAGACCTATATAGGGGGTGCATGAGACATTATACGTATACCCATTTAGGCAGGTTGCGACCAAAGTTTTCACTTTCCATCAAAGAAACACAGTATCTATGTATACATAATACTTTTTTGAAACATACGAGTACACATAAATTACCTACAAAGTAAACATTTGATAACAAACGAGATATTCGGTTATATAAATGTGTTTTTTATAAACTTTCTCACTACACATTAAAATTTCATAAAAGTGAGTCAAAATAACGTTTCAAATCGATGAATTTATGAAACAAAAAAAAGTGGTATACGAGACAAAAAAGTTAGGGCACCTCTGGGACGCTGGTCTAGTATTGCCCAATTCAAGACCAAAACGGGACTAACCCTAGTCTTGGTCTTGGTCTCACGTCAATATACCTGGCATTGGTCTTGCGCATTAAGTCTTGCCTACCTATTGTTTCTTATCAAACTAATATATTCTATTATTAGTTTGTTCAGATTTTAGAATAACGCAACAGGGGTAAATATTTTGAGTACGTATTAACGTAGGTATACTGAAGCCAACCAGACACGTATAACCAAAATACGAAACGTGTTTATAACACCTTACGTATACAATATAATAACGCGTATGTTCGCAGAAGCGCACGCAGATGGCTTCCAAACGATAATGCGAAAAAAATAGCAGCGCTTATGGCTCACGTCTGAAATATACAAAGGCATCCTGCAAATGGTTGCAGGCTGGTTTAATTGTCCAATCCTAATATACTGGCACAGATTAACTATACATAACTCTCATACAAAATCGAAAATACCTACGCTATAATAACCTACTAAATCTGACTAATTAAACTAGGCGCTCACTACGAGAATAAAGGAGTCTAAGCTCGCGCACAGAAGTGAAAACAACGTTGCCCGCCGTGTGCAGTCGTGTGGAGCCGATTGCTCATAAATGAAAGACTTGTATGAGCCCTTGTGCCGACGTCGGTACACTCAGCGGTAGGCACTTATCGCGTAACCTTGAGCGAGTCCTGGAGCCCTAGTACTGGGTTCGTTAATTTCATTTGCAAATCTATGTTTAATAAATAATTTTTGTTTCGTTATTTTGTGTACCTACTTACTAAGTGAAAATGTTACTAACAATATGTAAGATAGGAGGCAAACGAGCTGACGAGCCACTTGGTTGGAGGTAGTCATCGTTGACCATGATCATGTCCAATATCAGACGAGCTGCCTACGCGTTGCCAACCTTTTAGAGACATGTTGACACGTTTTTTGAAGAACCCCATGTCATAGAACAAAGGAATTACTTTAGGTGAGAGATCGTTCCATATCTTGCAGGTTCGAGGAAGGAACGAACGTGACACCTGCGTGGTCTTACAATAACAGTCGTCAATGATGTGGGGATTGGCTTTACTCCTTTGGCGGGAGGTGCGATGGTGGAAACACGACGTTGGCAACAGTTCGAAAAGTAAGTTGGCAAACTTATAACATCATTGGAAACAACAACTCTTTGAGTGACAGGAGTTTTACTCCAATACTGATTGATATATTTCAAATATCTTTGTAAAGAAGTCATGTCGTATACAGGGTTCACGTTATTTGTTCTTTAACGTTTAGATAGTTTTTTTTTATGATACCAAGTGTCAGGACGACCAAGTCGTGCGCCTGGTGGTCATGTTAATTTTTTCTGATGTTCGATCTTTGTAATAATAATTATAACAAACTAGTGAATTAATTTGACATAAAAAAATAATTGAATATTAATTGAACAAAAAAAATTGAAATTTTATTTACTTGAAACATGGTGACTGAAAGATTTTCTACGTCGTATTCCTTCTCAGTACTATGATTTGTTTAGAATTAATGTCATATTTTAATTACCTGCTTCTAAATTTAACAAAGCTATTATTGAATTTATTTATTGTTTACTTGTTTTAGTTTTGCCTTATCAATCACACAAGACAATTTTAATTTGAATAGTAATATGGGGATAATGTTGCTGATTGTACAGTCAAGAGCACGTCAAGCTTGACACTTTGTACTTTGGACCGTTCTTATCGAAAACGCCTTAGAGTTGGATTTAAATCTGAAGTGTCAAGCTTGACGTGCTCTTGACACTGTACGTGTACATATGTTGGAAAATTTCACAAAAAATGTAATCATATCATGTCAATTGTTTATTACGTTTAAAAATAAATAAAAGCAACGATATCAATGATAGATTAAATTCTTTGTACGAAAACTTGTACATTCTCATATAGTAGTACTTCCACTATACTCGGCGAATAGCAGAACTAAGTAAGAAATTACTATTCGAAAAACTCGATACTGGCATAATCCAATAAAGATCACCGCTAACTATAATAAGTTTCCTATTTGTAATGTTTCCTATTTGTAATGAATTTAGAGATCGCACGTCACCTCCCATTCTAAGCCGCTTCCTATGTTCAAAACCGGATTGCGTAAGCATCTTCAGGCTTGATCTTCGTCTGTATATTTAATAGTAAGTAGAAGTTTATTTAAGTATATTTATATATGTAAATAAATATATATGTAGGTATATAAATAATATTATGGTCATTTATTATTTCATAATAATGACAATGTTAGTCTTTAACAATGCATTATATTTTTATCACAGGCACACTACGTCTCCCTCTGTTCATTCGTGCCATTCACGATCTCTGCCTAGAATCTGCCTTACGGTAGAGTTTAAGCAATGTGACGATTTCAAGTGTATTAATGCTGACCTCTGAAATAAAGGTTATTTTGATTTTGATTTCAAAGGTTATAACCACATACTCAACATAGCGCCGCACTAGGGAATCCCTGTATCGAGGGTGCCATGGACACAGAGAAATAAATTCTAGCTATACAATATTTCTCCCGGCCCGGGAATCGAACCTGGGATCTCTGTGTGGCAGTCTGGCATGGTAACCGTTCGGCCATGGAGGCAGGTTTCGGTTGCCTGAAAGAGATCGCTTTCAGCGATACTTTGCTCACGTTAATTCTACGTCGTCTATGTACTGTTTTTTTTTGTGTGTGTGCGCAATGAAGTCCTTTCTATCCCTTTACCTTTCTATCTCCCTAAAGATATATCCGGAAAATATACCTTTATCAGGCCTGTTGTTATCAGCAGTACATTAATAGTTGGCTATTGTTTACACAAGGTTAGGCGACGTCCATAAGGCTTTCTTGTCGGCTGTGTACATACAAGTTGGTAAATATTACGTAAACTACCGACTTTGCGGTTTACTAATTCGTATGTTCAATGTTAAATACCATCTAATTTTTTTTAACTAAGAAGTTCTCAATTTGGCTCTAATTTTTTGTGTGTTTATATCACGCGATTGCCCCGACATTTGTGAACTAATGTCGATGATTTTTTGGAAGTAAATGAAATATAGTAGCAGTGGAACTGCCCGAAGCAGGAATGTGAGCATTTACTTCGTTTTGGGAGAGTACCTAAGGGTGCCGGTGAAATTACAGGCACATGGGACTTATCAACTTATGTCTCAGGGTGACGGGCAGAGTGGCAATGCCCCTCCGAGTGGCACTGTAATTCTCATGGACAGGCGCGTAGCTTACCATCAGGCGAACGACTTGTTCGTTGTTTCATTCACCGAAAAGCTTTTGGTAAATTTCAAATTCTGAGACACCCCGAGGTGCGAATCCGAATTCTAATTCACGTCTATGCTTGAGACGCGGTAGGTTGACCAAGTGACAGGAGAAACAAGTTGTACGTTTGGTGTTAAGCGACACGCTTGTCTATAACAGTAGCCACTCAGAGTTTTAAATAGCAGAGATCTAAGGGACACTAATTTCACTAGCAACCAGGCAGAAATAGGTAAGGCGTAAGTACTTCCCTGGATTAACTCTTTCACGAGGAGCCCTACTGCTACTTTCATTCATTAATTAGTTATCATTAGTAGTTATAATTAGAGTTGCTGTAAAATTTGTCACAGAACATTGTCGATAGTTTCTAGCGATTATCGATACCGGAAACTCATGATAATGATCCTAATCTCATTCGTATCGAAAAAATATCGCGATACTCGGAAGTTTTCATGAGATCATTCACACAAAAACATTCCCATACCGGTTAGCATCTGTGTAATGTTTGTTTGCTTCCACATTACGTACGCGTTAAATAGTTAACTGGATCGCATAAGGCAGTCAAGCGTTTGTTCTTATGACTCATATTTTGACCCGGTAAGTCCCAATATGCAAATGCTGTCTAAAGAAAATATATATATTCCACAAAGATATTTATATTATGCAAAAGAGATCAAGTTTGGCACAACGAATAAATGGATTCGCTGGTAAAAGAATTTTTAATCTCGGTTGGTGTCAACAACAAAGTTGTTAAATTGGTAACAAGTATTTTTTGTAAAAGTGTCAAAATGGATTTTAAATAATTGTAATTTTTTTATTAAAAAAAATAGATCTCAAAAGTTTGTGGAATTAATCTATTCAAATCAGTTAACGGAAAGTAATTTCCCACCCTTAGAGGCGGAATATTTTCTTGCAATTTGAATGGAACTTATACAGTGTCCGAATTTTTAAATGATAAATCCCTAAATTCATTGTCGGTGTCGTTTTTTTTTCCATTCCATCCCTAAAGGAAAAGGCAAAAGTTGAAATCATAGACCCAAGTCTTGGTGAATTTTTCAAATTTTAGACGTTTATATATTGACGGTATTCATAATACGATATTATTTTGACATCTAGTCCAGCACGCTATGACGGCCGTTTTGACATTTGTCCGCTTTGTTTCGTATTCATTCATAACTACGTTGACGGAGCTAATTGCAGTACGTCAATACGTGACGTGCAGTAAAATTTATGGAATGTATAATTTGACGA